TAACTCGAGAGATGTTATTCCTATAAAAAGTTTCGTTTTTAAATTTTACATAATACTTGACTACCTATAAATTGAATTATATGATTGAAAAAATAGCAATAATTAAAAAAAAATGTAAAAATGGGGGTTTACCCTTAAATTGTTCCCACCACTTAAACATAACTTACAGCCTTATTATTTCGCCTAGAAAAACTCTATAATATAGGATCCGCAAAACAAATTGCAAATTTAAAAAAATATGCTGGGCCCAAAATAAGCATTTTAAACAGTCGAGATTTTTTTAAGTATAAAAAAAAGCTTAGCATTTCGAAAAATTTAAATCTATTAACTACGACAGCTTAGGAAATTTTTTAAAGGTATAAACCACTTTTTGGCTTATATGCTTATAATTAAATGGCCAAATATATGGCATATGAGGACAAAATCGTTAAAATTCCACTAGGAAACTAAGTTCCTGTAAAAAAAAATTTTTTTTTAAATAAAAAAAAATTTAAAAAAAAAAGAAAAAAAAATTTCTCTTACTCGATTCGCTTATTACTCGGCCCGCCGAGTGAGCACCCTACCTGCGTTGTACTTAGAGAGACTTTTTACGCATAAACCATTTTTTAGTCTGTTTTATGCATTTTGTCATAAGGAGCATTATGCAAGAAATTTTGTACAAAAAGTACTTTACAAGACAATGATATTTAATTACTATTAAACTGGCAATAAGCCACAATTAAAGATAAAAATACGTTTATTGACGTTTCAATTTCCACTTCGGAATTCGGAATTTACTGTTTGTATTTTGAGAACGATTTCCGAAGCGGAAATTGAAACGTCAATAAACGTATTTTTATCTTTAATTGTGGCTTATTCTAAGTTTAATAGTAATTAATTTACAATGCCACAAGAAAATAGCTCAATTTACTGTTTGTATTTTGAGAACGATTTCCGAAGTGGAAATTGAAACGTCAATAAACGTATTTTTATCTTTAATTGTGGCTTATTCTAAGTTTAATAGTAATTAATTTACAATGCCACAAGAAAATAGCTCAATTTACTGTTTGTATTTTGAGAACGATTTCCGAAGTGGAAATTGAAACGTCAATAAACGTATTTTTATCCTTAATTGTGGCTTGTTCCCAGTTTAATAGTAATTAATTTACAATGCCACAAGAAAATAGCTTCAGAACAATACAATGATATTTGTTTAAAAACAATCCCTACATCATTTATGGTTAGGCGGCAAATGCATGCCAAAATTTAAGTTTCGATATCTCGGCAACCAATAAACACAATTCATTACCTTTTTAAGAAGCGTCTGTCAACATTCTAGTGTACAAATTTAGAATTTAATTCGTGTAAAACTTGTGAAGATATTTTATTTATTTATATGACAAAGAATTGGTTGTAACTATAAAAAATTCCTTGGGCTCCTCTTAAAGTACGTTTGAAAGCTTCAGCTGCTCATTATTTGTAAAAAAAAATATTGACTTGCTTATTTTGGACCTTGGACTACAAAATTATTATGCAAAAACTATTAGAGTTTTTTGAGGCGGAATATTAAATCAGTATGTTAGATATAAAACGTCAAAAAAAACTTAAAGAAACAACAATTTTATTTCTTTTTTTTTTCACTTATAGGTAATTTTTAAACTATAAACATTATGTATTTCGTACAAACAATTTGTAGAGTATGTTTTAAGTGTAGGGGCGGAAATTTCTGGAGACACTAAAGTCTCACCAAACAAAGCAGTGGCGTTCCCAAAAATTCTTATGATTTCAATTAAATTGTTAAAGATGGGTATACACAATTTATTAAACAATGATATTAGATTATATTGTTTTCAGTAGTGTACTACATTTTAATACATATTAATTTAATAATACGTATTACAGATTAGAGTGTTAATCAATATTAATTAAAAATATTGTTTTAACTTTAAAACCTTTATTATTTATTTTATTACTCACTTAAACGTCACAAAGTTAAATAGAAAAATATACAAAATGATTTTAATAGAGTAAAAAAATTATACATACATACAAGAGAGTTTGAAAAACTTATATTCACATATGTACATCGTAATGTTAAATTATATTATTCACTTTCATAATTAGATGCACTGTCGTCGTCACTAGAATAATTTAAATCAATCCTTAATTCTTCAGCGATTAAATCTATGCGACGTTCACTTTCCAAATAATTTATCTTCAACCTTGACAACATATTCACACACTTTCTTCCAGTTATCTACAATTATTGTAGCAAATTCGTGTTTTACCAACAATTTTACATCTTCTAACTTAAAATAAACGTTCTATTTTGCAACTTTATATTTTATTTTCGCCCAAACCATTTCTATAGGGTTCAAATCTGGATGATATGGCGGAAGTTTTAAAGAAACATGTCCACATTCTTGCAGTTCTGTGTGAAATGTATATTAAATATAATCTTATTAGGGTCGTTTGATGCTTTCATACAATTGCGGTTTTAACATTGACGTTACAAATGGTAAATTTTTTTCTATCATTCAAGATATCATATCTGTTTTTGTTAGAATTACTGGTGGGTGCTTTATTAATTTGTAAATTATGATCTGGCGCAATATTAGTAACCACAACAGATCCAACAAGCAAATTGGGGATTAACTGTTCTTTCATCCATTTTTCATAATTTTCTGAATTCATATCATCATGATAATCTCCTGCCTTAGTTCCTGACTTAAAAATCAAACGGGAATTATGTATGAAACCCATCTGCCCACTACCATGTACGATAACCAACCTACTTTCTTTTGAAATGTTTTTGAACAACCCTTTGCCACTGTCATCTGTCCAGCTATTTGGCATAGTGTATCCTGCATATACATAGGTTTCATCAACATATACAATTACCTTACCTTCAATTCTGTAATATTTAGTTTTGCACGAATATCATTCTTTTACAATTCTGTAGAGACAACTCACACTTCCAGTTTACTTGTACACCCCTTCAAGCCTTTTTTGCAAATGCTTTAATGATACACGACAACGTTCAGTCTCATGAAAACTATGAATGCTATTTCTAATGAACTTTTTGTCATATTCCCTCAAGTCTGTCACGGTTGCATTCATTTTAGCAAGTGTTGTAGCTAAAAATTTTACTGTATTATTGTACTGTGCGTTTGTTAACATAATCGCTTGTTAAATGATTCTTTCTACTGTACGTAAAGATACTACAGTAGCTTCACTCACACGTTGTTTAATACTGGTTCGATTATCTCCAGGAAATAGTGTTTGCATAATTATATTTACATACATTGTAAACTATCTCTTTGGATTTTGTTGTAAACCTGATCTGTTTACTCGTACTACACAACCATCTCCATTCTACAAAATAGTTCTAATACGCGTGGTAGCACGTTTTCTAATTACGGTTTTAAGGTAACTAATACTAAATTAGAAATTAACTTTTACCAAACTTTATAGGGTATCAATTATTAAAGATGGTATTATAACAAACAATAAGTTTGGTATCTCTAAATGAATCTGTATACAATTAAACTCCACTTATTATTATAGTGAGTAATAAGTTTGTAATTAGTGTGATTTTAAATAATTTAATTTGCTTGATATTGCAACGCCACTGCATGGGTCTGATCATAGATATTCTATTGTCTGAGCGAATAACTATTTTGTGGAAGGGCTCGCCAATCGATTTGAAATAAGCTTGTATCTAGTAAAATAACAAAACTTTTACCTGTTAATATCCATAATAATAATAATAACTATAATACCTTTGACTTTACCAACTTTAATCGATGTGGCGATACCTAACAACAATAATCTGCGTGTTAAGTACAATGAAAAGATCGCCAAGTACAGAGATCTGGAAATACAAATAAGAAGACAATGGAGAATGGAAAGTACCCAGACGATACCTATTATTCTTTCTACCACTGGAGTCATTCCGAAGAACCTCCTAGAAAACATAAAAAAGCTGGGTCTAAATGAACATCTATATAAGGTCATTCAGAAAGCTGTGCTACTTTCGACGTCCAGATGCGTGCGAAAATTTTTAGGAGATACACCGACGTACCAAGTCACCTAGGACTCGATAACATGGAAAGAGTCCCACCAGAGCTCAATCCTTTTGATACCATAGGTATCTGGGATGAGTGAATTTTCCCCTTAGAGGGAGTGTGAGCCGTATGGCTAAATCTGGATACCTTTGTAATAATATAATAGCTTTTTTGTAGTAGTAGTAATATCTCTACAGTTATAGGCAAAAAAATAGGTGGGAAAAGCAAAAATGTTTGATTTTTGTTTTGATTTTTTTTAAATAAAAAGGTATGTTACTGGCTCTTTTTATGGTTACTAATACAAGGTAGGTACATATTGAAGTGATTCCAGGAAAAACTAGACTCCTATGGAAAATGACCAATTTAAAGCAGATCTCGCATCGACTATGAGTAATTTTTTATGTTCAACATTAGAGCCCTCAAGAAGTGATTTAGTGGATGTTACCATTCATAGTTTTCAGTGCTGACTTTGAAACTGAAATTATGGCTATATTCGTGCATTTGTTAGATACACATCATTTTAATATTTTTTTTCATTTGTAAAAGACTCGAAAATAAAAAGATAACAATAATTTAAGGGTCTGTTTATTAATTATTAATTCGTCTTTTACACATCTGTATAAATTTAGGATGAGTTAATTTCCAAGTTATCCAGTATGGTGGTTTAAATAATTAGATTATGCTATATTAGGATAATTAAGTAAATTCATCCTCAAAGCTAGTTACTGCTTAACCACAAGTAATAACGGCATGTCTGGAACTCTCGATTCTCAATTCTAGTTAGTGTTATTAATAATAATTAATAATAATGTTAATAATAACTAAATAGTCAAGTTACATAAACAGTGAATTACGAAGTGCCAAATTGAATACTTAGCACATTATAATAGTTTTAAAGAATATTTTGTTGTAAAAACAATTTTAGAAAGATCCATTCCATTTTTCGTTTTTTAGGTATAGTCGCCTGGGGCATCGGATGCGGTGAAAAAAATATTCCTGGGGTGTATACGGATTTGGCGGTATTCAGAAATTGGATAGATGGAGAGATGTTCAAGAAGCGACTGCCGACGACGTTTTATGACAGATCCGATCCATTTATACCAAGGATTAAACATGAGCAGTAATTTTAAGTAGAAAATAGCTGTTGAATTTTATATGTAACGTATTTTCATTATGTAACACAGTTTAAGTTTTTTAAATAATAAACATAAAAAACTAAAGATATCATTTATGTCTTTCGTAGAACAAAAAAAAGAGCTTCTTGTAATATTATTCAACGTTCTTTATTAAACTTGTACACTTTATTTTTAGGTGTATTAGTTTTCTTCTCGTCAGCTGTCTGTTTTAATATTATCCAATATATAGTCTTCAGGTTACTTTTTCCTACTCTTCCTACTTTTGTTTGAAATCCACACAGAAATATGCCACGTTATTTTTCAATACCCACAATACCTTAGAAATAATATTCCAATCGTCAGAGACGAAAATACCGCTTGTAACGACTATTTTCCTTACCACAGGGTAAGAATATGGGGGGACAAGATTGGGCAAACAAAATAATCAAAACAAAGATTAATATTGCTTTAACTGGTCTTAAGACAGTACTAAAAAATTGAATCGACTCTTCGATTCACAATTGCCCCAGCATTATATATCCGCAAAAGCGTCTACCACCGTTTCCAATCTGTTCTTCCACTTACATTGTCACACGTCTGCTCTGCTTAGAACTTAAATGTCGACTCCGTTTCAAATCTTTGACTCAATTGTCACATGTCTGCCCCGTTTCAAATCAAATCTTGGACTTTACCTGGTAGCACGTCTGCCCTGCTTGGAACTTAAAAGTCGACTCCTTATCCACGTTACATTTTACCAATTCAAAGTCAAAATAAATTCCCTTCCGTCTTGCAGCTAGCATGTCGCCCACAAACTTAAAAACAAACCATTTTCCTCTTGTTATTCATTCCTAACGATGAAAGACAAATAAAACCTATTTTTTTATCATAAATTATAATCCCTTTATATACAAAAACACTTGTCGAAATAGATATAACATAATACAAATTAACAAAATAGCACGTATTTTAAACCGGAGTTCTACCTGACTTTGTAACAAAAGGTTTGATATTTGAATCTAAACACAGACAAAAACATCTATATTTACTTTTAAATCGGTAGAAATATACGCATTATTGATTATTCTAACTGGAATATTAGAGTGACTTCATGTAACCTAATACCTCTTTGGCGACAAAAAACTTGTTGTTTTACCTAACATTGCAACACAGAGATAAAAACATATTTCCAGCGTTATTTCGCATTTAAAAATCTTGCAAAACTTGAAATATTATTTCGATTGTTTTCTTTGGTAAAAACAACAGGAGCGTACTACAGAAATCTTTTATATACACATTAAATAAAAAAACGCTACACGCTGAACCTCTAAAAATCATACGAACCAGCTCAATTTTCCCAAAAATGTAAATTTTAAGACAGTAAAAAATGTGAAAAAAAGTTTATCACTTTTCCTCCAGGATAAAACAATCCACATAGAGGGGGAGAAACGGAAAAAATCGATTTACCAAAAATCTGTACGCAATAGTAAAAAATGTTTTAAATAAAAAATATAGGTAAAGTCCATTCATTTAGCTCGGGCATATTTTGACGTTGAGGATAATACGTTAAAAATGGAAGATAATCGTCGAAAGGTAATTCGAGAAGAACATATTACAATCTTAAAAATGCCTGGCTTTATCTGGCTCATGTTACTCCTCATTCTGGTACTGCTGTGAACATTTTAAAAATCCACAGATGTCTTAAGCGTAATAGGGTGTGATGGGACGAATGTTAACGTTGGAAAGTTTAATGGTGTTATTGTGCAATTAGAAAAATATTTAAATCGCCCGTTGCAGTGGCTTATTTGCCAGCTGCACTGTAATGAATTACCTTTGCGACACATTATGAATTTCCTTGATGGTAGTACAACTAGACCTCGCCACTTCAACGGACCTATAGGACAAGCACTTATTGGATGTGAAAATCTACCTGTTGTTAAGTTCAGTGTAATTAAATCATATGTACAGGAGAATGTGGATAGGTCTGATTTAAGTACTGATCAACAATATCTTCTTGACATGTTTGTTGCAATCTCAGAGGAAAGTATTGACAACAAACTTTCTAAACGGTGCCCAGGTAAAATAGTGCATTCCCGCTGGTTAACATTGCCAAACCGTATATTACGTTTATATGTTTCCACATGTGCCATGTTTGGCATAAGTGTTGCCAGAGTTTTTTTACTGATTTTTTTAAAACAAGTTTGGGATCGTTATCTAGTCAAATTAAAGTGATTTCAGTACTATGGTTTGTAGCTTCTTTGGCAAAATGATCTGTTATTTTATTACCAATAACTCTATTATAAGAACGAAGCACTATTAGATAGACTGTTAAGTCTAAATATGCATTGGTCATAGGAGTGTTAGGAGTTTTATGTTATGTGTTAAATATGGTGAATGGTGTGTCTATTTTAGGAAAATGTTTAGCTCAGAAGAGAAATTAAGGTAGATGAAATAAACATGTCGGGCGAAGGTCAATTTTTTAATTACTGTAGCAATTTATTGAGGTATATATAAGAAGAGGATATTTGTGGAGAGTAGGGAATAAACAGGGGGTTCAAAGGAGTAGTGATGTGCAATACAAGGTGTTGCTTCCTGATAACACCTCTAGTGTCTTCTACTCAATTCCTTTCGTCACCTCCAAGAAGTGTGGTTTAATCACACCCCGGCAAACCTGACGAGGAAGGGTGAAATGGTCCTCCGAAAAGAGGGTTGGGCGATAGGCCGGTAACCTATTCTTGTAAAAAAGTACTACTACGAAATCTTAGGCCTCGAATGGACGGATATCAAGAAGACGACTATGGCAACGGAATATGGAATTTATGCTGGGAACATGGAATGTCAGAACGCTAAATAGACTAGGAGCACAGAGGATCCTTCTACACGACTAAAAAGATATAATATAGGAATCACTGCAGTACAAGAAAGTAAATGGTTGGGAAAAGGTATCCGGGACACTAAAACACACACTATAGTGTATAGCGATAAAGGTGAAGAAGATAAAGAATTTGGAATAGTCTTTATTGTAGATAATAAAATAAAGTACCGGATAACAGACTTTTAAGTCATCAATGAAAGAATCTTGCAAGCTTATAATAAAAACGCATTTCTTTAAAACAACCCTTATAAATGTACACTGTCCCACAAATAAACAGGAAGAAGACACTAAGGTAGCCTTTTATCAAGATCTAGAACGAATCTATGACTCAATACCAAGAAACGACATGAAAATGGTGATAGGCGACACAAACGCCAAGATTGGAAAAGAAGATGAGTACATAGGGGTAATAGGGAAACATAGTTTGCATAGAGACACAAATGAGAATGGTCAGTTTCTAATAGATTTCGCAGCTGGAAACAATATGATTATCAGTTCGACATGCTTCTCACATCAGAACATACATATGGGCACTTGGATATCACCTGATGGAAATACAATCAATCATATAGACCATATACTGGCTGAAGAAATAATGGAGATGAGTATATTAGATGTAAAAAGCAGACGTGGCGCAAGCTGTGACTCAGACCATGTACTAATACAGACACGGTTTAGATGCAAAATCAGTCGACAGGTAAAGGAAAAATATTCAAAACAAGAGAAACTAAACTTAGATAACCTAAAATTTTCTGAGGTACAAGAAAGATTTAAGAGAACAGTGGATGAAAAATTACTAGAAGAAAACAGAGCAGACTCCACAATAGAAAATCAATGGAACACCATAAGCAGTATCATACTCAACACAGCGAAAGAAGTCCTAGAAATAAAGACACAGCGAAGAAAAGAAACATGGTTCGATGAAGAATGCAAACAAGCTATACAGGAAAGAAATGAAGCACATAAGAATTACATACTTAGACGTACTACAGCGAGAAAAACAGAATTTGAGAAGAAAAGACGAAGAGCAGATAAACTGAGTAGTCAAAAAAAGAGAAAGTATGAAAACCAACAAATACTAAACATCGAGAGGGAGTTTAAGGAAAACGAAACACGTAGTGCATACCAATTTATTAAACATTTAAGACAGGGATACTAGCCGAAGACTAGCCTCTGCAAAAATAAGAGGAGTGAAATCATTAGCGATCTGGACGCAATTAAGAGAACCTGGATGCCATATTTTAAGGAATTACCAACCACCATTACAATAACAGAGGCAGCGGCAGGCACGGCAGGAGGTACAACAACAAAAGCAACAAAAAAGCCGTAAAGCACTGGGAATAGCTAAAATACCGGCAGAACTACTCAAGCAGGGAGGACGGAATTCGACACAACAGATGTACCAGCTACTACGAGAGATATGGATAAAAGAAGAAATCCCCAACAATGGAAGAAAAGTATAATCTTTTTTGTAGATTTAAAACAAGCCTATGATTTAAAAGATAGAACAATTCTATCTTATATATTGGAAGAATTTGCCATACCATCAAAATTAATACGACTAGTGCAAATGACAATACCAGAAACAGAAGCATATGTATGTATTCAAGGACAGATCATTGATGCGTTTACGATAGCACAAGGACTGAAACAAGGCAACACACTGGCTTTAACGCTCTTTAATCCTGTTCTTCAATATGTAATTAGACGGTAAGCAGAAATAACATACAAACAAATCCACCCAATTAGCAGTATACGCAGATGATATAAACATAATGAGCAGAACAGTGAATGCAGCGGAAGAAACCTACATTGGGTTGAAACAGAGTGCAGAAGCAGTAGGGATAGCAATAAATACAAATAAAATAAAACTACTCATACAAACCAGATCAAATAGACCGGAGCAACAACAACCGGAAATAAATGGAAGGCTTGTGCTAGCAACTAAAGCCTATTTCGCGATGGGCCACATATTCAAATCACGAGATGTACATCGGAAAACAAAACTCCGGGTCTATACAACAATAATCAGGCCCATAGTAAGGCAATCAGCCGAAACAGCTGTAGTGATAAGAGTTAAGATAAATTTTGTGGAAGTTTGAAAACAAAGTTTTCAGTGTTTTATTGTTTCATTTTTATTTATAAATATACAAGATGGCGGCGATATTACAGACAACGGTGACGACATTTAAACTTAAAAGGATCTTCTAAATCCTCTAAATCC